CCAGAGTGAGGAAAGGAGTCTGTTGATGTGCGTCTTACTTATAATACATTTCATGCAGTGATACCAACCACCAGTCAGATATTGAAAAACCTGAACACCTGTGGAACAGGACAGTACCTCATTTTAAGCAAATTGTGCCTGGTATAAAGAAGATGAAGACAGACCAAACTCCTCTTTTCGCAGGGGTTCTTTTCAATAAAATGTAGTTTATGGAGCAAATATTTAATCCAACGGCCAGATGCATTTAAAATATGCATGGAAGTGTAGTTATGCCATGGTTGTGTAGGATTTATAGTTAATTAATATTGTTAAAAATATAAAAATGACCATCTTAATGAAAATAAATGGATGTTTTAAGCCCAATGAATGGGATAGAAATGTCAATTTTCATGATCATCTGCACATTATTAAAACAGTGCACAATTCAATTACAAACAAGAATTCGAGATGCATGTTGAATCTGGTGAAACCGAAAATAAGCCTTCCATTTCTCATTCAATTTCAGTTATCATTGTGTGTCAATGCTGTGTTCTGGAGTATGGTGGATATATATGTTTTTTTCAATTTAATTTAGGGATTCAGTCTCATTGAGTTTCTTGGGTCAAAAGCGTCAGCTGTGTTACAAAAGAAAATACATTGCTGATGAAAGGGAGGAGGGTTCTGTCCATTAAAACAAACTGAGGTAGCTTTATGTTCAGTATATATCAGTACACATCATATATATCAGTATATATGATTACGATATGCTGATGAGTTAACAAAGGCTACAATGGATTTGGGTGACAATGTAAATAAACTTTCATAAAAGGCCTTGATGCCCCATTTAAATAATATAAGGCTGCATCCATACAGACCAGGTTATAGAGAAGACATCTGTTTTTCAACTTTCACATGTTCTTATAGACCATGATGATTTTGTCCAGTTACTCCTGGATTTTAGTCCATCTGGTAAAAACGTTGATCAGGTGAAATCCTGTGATTGGTTAAAATACTGCTAATATGTCAACTAAATGGACATGAGAACCTGCTGTTATTCCACGGCACACCTCTAATAGACCCTGCACTGTTGTTGGGTTCTAGGTCTCCTATCACTTCAAGCATATACGGAAAAGCATGTCAGAACTAATTGAATATTGAATTAATTCAAAATGAGAATAAGAGATATTTATGTGTGGAGAAAGTTAGGCAGAAATTAGGCAGGAGGTAAGTAGTAGGGTTAAACATGAGCTCCTGCAGTACTGTTTAAATGCAGTCTCACGCAGTGTGCGCTATCCTCTAATTCTAACAGTACTGTGCCATCCTGAAACCTGTGCTTTTCCTACCACAACAAAACAAACACAAACCCACGTACCCACAATGCAACCTGACAACTAACAGCTTATTCAGATGTGGAAATTTGAAATTCTGCTTAAGTAAAAGGCAAGAATAGTGCTATAGTTCAGCCATCAACCACAAAGTCCTTAATGCAGTAAAGCACATGTACACCTACACAAACAACCACTTAAACCTTTGGGTTGTGGCAACAAGGCAAATAAATAAGCCTAAAGATTATTTGTTTAAGTTCTGTGACTCATAATTCCATATACAGACTGTTTCATAAGCCTCATAAACTGAAAGAATGAGACATTGAGAAGCTTAAATAACGATGTCATGTTCTGTCCACACATAATATTTTAATATTTAGGCTTACATAATAGTTTTGTGACCATTTTCCAAAGCATGTTGTACTTGAGTTTTGGATGTATTTTACTAACAGACTCCATTGGTTTCCAAACATGTTATGTAGATTATGAAAGCAGATGAATAGGAAAGGTCTGCTCTTCATTTCAACAAGAATGATGCTATTTTGACAATAATGAATTTAGATTTTTCTCTTGAGTCGCAGCTGCAAAAGAACATTAAAATAGTTTGATACAAAGCAGCAAGGCTTGTAAAATGATTGGATGTAAAGTAACAAAGTGACATAGATGGGTTTAGGTGACGTGCATACACAGGCAGAAGGTAGAATGACCCCAAATTAGTGAGAGCTTTTTAGCTTGTTCAGTTAGCTGTGTAGTGTGAGTAAGCTTTTAAGTGAAACGATCGGGTCACAACACGTTTTTATGAAGTCTGTGAATAGTTCTACACTGAAACTGCAGTAAATAAACAGTAGTTTTAAAGTACGACAGCTCCACTGTTACTGTGTCTTTGAGTCTGATGTTTACAGTTTCATTTCTCAGACAAATAACATCCAAATCTGAAAGGGCAGTTTATCATTGAATCAGCAAGAATTCAGAAAACATTCAAAGCAAAATCTATGAAAAAATGTCCAAATCATTTAAGATACCCCAGTGTTACATTTTCTATTTGCCACCACCAACGCAAAATATTTATTATAAAAACTACATTTTTATTTGATGGAAGAACCACAACTACTCCTGGAATATGCCAGTATTTGTCAGGGCACTGGAACATTAGAGCAAATCTTCTGCTTCTCTGTGGTCTGTGTGCTACATAAGGTATTTTTTTTTAAATGCCTGTTTTTTGTAATCAAAATCTATAGATGATGAATATATTTAAATTTTGGACCAGTAACATAATTTCAACCACACACACAAAATTATAAGACCATGAGGTGAGATGAGCGCAGTAAGCCTGGGGCTGCTTTGGTGAAGCAGGATGAGAAGGTTTACAGTCTTGTGCCATGATTATCCCACTGACTTGTTTTGTGCTTTTTTCTCCTATTGCCATCCTTAGAAAAAAAAGATCATTGCGCTTGTGACAGAACAAAACACAATAGACAACCTGGAACTTTAATTTGTGCAGACATTTCAAATTCTAAAAGACACACTGTTACCATCTGAATTGCAATGCCTTGATGATATAGTCATGGATTTCATTCATCATCCATGTGCAAATATCATTGCCTCTGGTTTCCCAGAATTCCATGAAATCAAGCAGTTAGGTGTGAAAGTCTATAGGGAATGGGCGGTAGTGAACATGGTACAGTTCTCCATTTACTCTGATTGAGATAACTCAGGATATTCAAGGGTTTGGTTTTCATACATGCACAGCGTGCACCAGGTCAATATGACTAGTAGTAACAGTGGGCCCTGGGGGTGGACATTATGGACTATAAAGTATGGACATCCTCCTTCGAGGATGATTTTGGCAACTCCCTGATCCTAGCTTGAATGTCACCATTCATGTCACAACCATGAAAAAGTATCTTTGAAAACGAATGGTGAGGACCCAGTCTTTTGTCCCACAACATTTTCAGCACCACCACTGGTTCAGTGGGCTTTAAAAAACAACATTTTCAGTATGTAGTAATTTCATTCCATGAATTTGTCTCATGGTGTCACTAGCGGGGCATCAGGCCTTTAGCATTGTAGCATCAATGAGTGTCACATGTCATGCTGCGATCAGGACATCCATACCAGGCTGTTTAATGGTTGTTCTGATGGAATTAAGACATTTCTCTCACTAAGGTGTTCATTAACTTTCTAAGGAAATTATGTTGAAAACACAAACAAACAGATTGACAAGTTGATTAAGATTCTTATTGTGATCCCACTCATTCAAAGTATTTTATACATACTTGTCCTCATCTCTCCTTTCACTATTGTTATCCGAATCTAGTGTATTAATCTCATGGCATGAATTAGCTGGGAAGGCTCTTTGTGAGAAAAAAAAGAAAAGTGACAAAAAACATGACTAAGAAGTCAGAAGAGGTGTGCTGTGTCATTTAAATATCGTCTGGCCACCGGTTACAGCACTGACTATAAAAATATCTCATGCTCATCACTCACCCTTCCAGGACCATAACATATGACGGCCCTGAGTTAAGCTTTCATGGCACCACTCTACTAGCATTTGTCACTCTAGTCAGTGGACACTACCAGCACCATGCTACCTGACGTTCTGTGGCTTGGTGTGACAATGTTAAAATCTGAATCAACTGAGGGCAAAACAGGAGCAACTTCCCCAGACGGTGACGTGTTAATCAACGACCAAAAACAACACTCACAGACCACATGTCAGGGTGTACCTTCACTGATCAACCACAGGTCCACCTGATCTGCTGCTCATTCAACACCACACACATGCATTCAAAAACAGAATCACATTGACTTCAGTACCCTTTACACCATCTCTGAAAATGCTGCATGTTGTATCACAGCTGTACATCCTGGTGGTTGATTTAGTTTGGCTGAGATGGCTGCTTGTCTGTGTCTCCTCCATCGTTGACTTATCTCCAGTTCATCCCCGCTTGTCGTGTCTTTTTCATTGCTCCCTGGCAGTTGGCTCATTTCTTCTGCTGTACTCTCCACATTAAGTAAAAATCAGTTTCATTGTACAGCCAGGATTATGTGGCTCCACTTATACAGTAGCTGAGTTGAGCTGCCAGGAAGATTTTTTTCTTGGCATTGTGTGAGAAAAACCACGAGCCTCTTGTCTGTCCAACTTTCACTTATTCTTTCGCACTCTCTGTTCTTCTGAACGACCATTTTTGGTGGATTTTATCCAGACAGAACACAATGACTGAGTATAAGTGCTACTTTGACCACTGTCTTCAAGCTGTTCACTTTCTGTCTGACCCACTTCCAGTGTAGATCAAACCTATCCAAGAGGAATGAAATATCAGGGCCAGAGGGAAACATTTTGGATTACCCAGCCAGCTTTAAGGTGTTCCACATCCTCAGAGGCTGGAGGGCATTTCCAAGGAATCTTTTTGGCACTAAGACAGGAGTAGCAAGCATAACTGTGTAGATACTGATGGAAATACCTACGCAGATGCAACCGCTAAGGGAGCACACAATCACAACTTCCAAACAGAAAGACACTAACACGTTAAGACAGATATGACAGTTTTCTACTGATGATGGGATGAGGGATTGTTTCCTTTCCGCATTGCATTAGAGACATTGATGTGTAATTCAGATGCCATTAACAGGAATATGTGATGACTTCAAGCCCATGTGTTAGGACATGAACACATGTTTATTTTATCCCTTACTTTTCCAAACTTAACTAAACAGTGCATTTGCGTCTTGCAGGGTGGGGAGCTGATGCTGAAGAATGGGGAAATCGGAGATGAAAAGTGACGTTGTTGGTAGTAACACATTTTTATTGCCACAGTTTCTGTTTCTGTAAATGTGATATATGAAGCTGGGTTCTCAGAGCAGGATTCAGCTATAAAGTGGTCTCATATTCCAACCTCTCCTGCACCAGAGCGTCATCTTTGTACTGCAGCCGTGGAGGAGTCAGGGAGCAGTCTATGGCCAGGATTGCCTTTCGTATACTGCGGTCAAGAACATGGCGCTCCCAAGCTGGGTAATGGTTTCTACAAAGGTCGATCTTAATGACGGTCTCTTCAAGGCGTGGAGCACGAGATGATGGAGTGGATGGCACTGTGGGTCGGACCTGAAACACTGGCATGCAGCCATCCCGCTCAGAATACTTCCCCATGTCACGCTCCAAAGTTGTGGTAGCACCTCTGTTGGAGCGCAATGAGTTGGTGGCACCTTCTGATGGTAGTGTGGAGAACTGAGCAGTGGGGTCCAGGTCAAGGCCCTGGCCACTTGGCGAGCGTCCAAAACGTGGCCCATTGGGATGGAAAAAGGCATAGTACATGAGCATAAAAACCACTCCAGTGAGGAAACTGCTGAAGATGACACATAATGCTGGCACTGCAAAGGCGTCAGTGGTGTGAGGAGACCGGTACAGATACCACAGTGCACTGAGAGCAGCATTCTCCACCAAGATCACCAGGTAATAGATGAAAAGTCGACACCTGCACAAAGACAAGATCAGAAGAAATTCAATCAAACTTTTGTTCAGGTAAGTGTGTGGTTGGAGAAACATGTAGTTTGACATTTGGCCGTTACGATGGCTGTAGTGGTCAGTTGATTCATGAGTCAGACACCTCAAAACCTGACAAATTTATATAAGTATGGGATGATTCTTCATGCCCCTGGTGGTCTCCTGATTTATTTATTGGTGTCTGTATCAAAATATACCATCCAAGAGTGAAAAATATGCACCCTTTCCATTTTGGACAGTCCATGAGCTTTCCCTCAGTGCTAACACAACGTGACAGTGAAAAAGTATTTAAGCCATAGAAAATAAGTGTAAGTAAGATGTTGATGGATAAACTCTGATTAATTATGTGCTGTACTTTGCAATGTAAAAGTCTTACCCTAATTCAAAGGTATAATTTTTTACCCTTTTTTAGCACATTTTCACAACCCAAAATAAATTATAACGTTGCACCATGTTTTCTTAACAACAATAGCATTTAACAGCTTATCCCACTGCCGGCCAGAAAATACAACAAAATAAAAATCAGTTGATGGATTTTTAAATGGTCTTCTTCTTTACTGCAATATCCCAGTAACAATGTATTGCATTGATATTAAGTGTGATTGACATGGTGAGGTTTTAAAGCTGCTGTGAAAGCCCGTCTGAGGTACTGATTTATTGAATTGCAGAAGTTCAATTATTTTACTGTAGCATCCTTAAAATGTTAAAGAAAGGCTTACATTTAAAATTAAATAAAGAGTTTCTCCTTTCTTCAGTTTGTTAAACAGTAACAACCAATTTTTGCTCTGTCTTTCTTTTCCTCTATATCCCAAGATTTTTGTAGAGTACGAGAGAATTGAGCTCAAGCCTGTCCTGTCAGGAGTTTATATCTGGCCTGGAATGGTGTATTATTGTAACACTGCAGTTTTTAACAAACACCACAGTCTTGTAACTTGTGAGATATTCCAGTTTTGAACTGCCTTTCAAAAAATAAACAGATAAGAATCTGCTTGACTACAAACTCTGTTTTCTCTGAGTACTTTTTTCTTTTTAGGTAGAAATAAAATTGTGTATTGGTATTGTGTATTCTGGTAGGAAATAGACAGTGAGCAACAACAATGGACTCTCCAGAATAATAAGTTGGAACTCAAACTAGGTAAAGGTGTCAAAACTGGGAATGCATTTAAAAATCTGTGAATATCTCAGAAATATAGCTTTTATAGGCCCTATACTATCGGTTCATCTCAAAGGTGAATGAATAAAACAAATTTGTAATTGGTATTCAACCAAGTTTCAGTGAGTAAAATAGTTCTCACAGCTCAAATGTGAGCCTTGCACACGGATTGGAGTAATGTATGTTGGGACTTGCTATTTTAAACAATATTTGTTATATGTTGGGCCCAAAGCAACCACTAATGGTCACTGTGTGCCCCATGCCCCATGAGGTCTTTGGGATAATAAAAGTAGAGCTTCCCCTCTCTTCTATCTCTTTTCTACTGACCTCTCCCGGAGGAGTAGGTAACGCTCCCTGCCCAAGCTCTCCAACTTCAGGCAGGTCTGCCTGGAGCAGACTGCTAAAACCTTTCAAAAGGCAGCGAAGCGAGAGCCTACCTCACTTCAGCACAAGCAATTGAGCACGACACAAGGTCTGACCAGCAGAAGCACAACAGGAGCCACAACCAACAAGACCACTTCACTGGACTTCAAACAGCACATCAAAAAGAATTTCATGTGAAAACTATTTCATGTGATGTTTATAAGTTTGACTTGTGTTGTTGTGATATTTGGTAATATGTTATTTGAAAGTTAATGTTAGTTCTGTTATGCTGTTCACTTTCTCTGCATGCATCTAACTACTTTCTCTAACCTGGCACCAACACCTCACACACTCGTCTCCACAAACTGAACACATACATGTGATCTCAGCCACATGGTCCCACCACTCCAGGGGGACTTATGTCTTCATAGTGGCCAGCTACCATTTTGAATCTCATTCACCTCATACACACACGCACGCACACACATGCACACACAAACACGCGCGCAAACACACATGTACTCACATACACATCTGCATATAGTCAGTATACCTTTAGTTAGTTTGTGTGTTTATACTGTTATTATTTTATAATAAATAATAATAATTTATAATAACTGTTTTTCTTTAACACATTTTATCATCATCAAAAACTCCATATCCTTTAACTTTAATACCTATTGACGTGGTAATTTTGGTTAAAGTTATTAATTTAACTTTTGATCAAAGTTCCAAATTTGAAGTTTGTACTTTCATGAGACTTCATCAATAAATTGGCTGTCTTCTCCCTTCCTTCGAAGGGTGGTGCCCTGAGGTAGCTTTAATGTCAATTAAAGTTTTTCTGATATTTATTTTTCCATATTTATTGAATGCCCAAAAGCACACCATTTAATGGTGCCATGCTTAAGGTTTAATAATCACAACAGTATGAAGGCTGAGGAGTCTGCTCAAGCTACCAGCACCGCCTCACACCGTGGTCCCATGAGGGTCCACAGATCTTCAGCTTGGCTTGACCAATCTTCTACACCTACGATGATGAAGTTGGTCCACAGGTGTAACAGTGATTTTGGCTGGTCACACTCGAGCAGAGCAGACCATGGCTGCCAGATGTTCCAGATCAGTGATGCTTCCCTGCCGCGTAGAGACAGTAAGATCCACACTCTTACACTAGAAGATAGTCTGTTAAAATGCTACATGCTCAAAGTTTTACAATGGCTCCGTCATTGGCTGCAACCTCTTTTGAAGAGGGCGCTGAACAAACTGTTATCCATCATGGGCAATCGAGAGCACCCTCTCCACCACCTGGTGGACAGACAGCGGAGCACTTTCTCCAACAGACTGATTCAGCTGCTCATAGATCTTTTGTGTCAAAGTGCCACTCTTGAATTTCATCTTACCAGCTGTCTTTGAAAAATTACAGAGAAGTAAAGACCTTCAATTAAATCAAAGAATATAGTTTTGAAAATGAAGCCACTAAAACAGATTTTTCTTCAGGACTAAATCACATTGACTGCTTACCTTGTCCTTCCCTCCTTAACGTTAAACCAAGAGAAGATGTAGATTATGCCCACCACCATGTCAAACACAATCTCCTCCCACTTGCTGATGCAGAAGTCTGTCTCACAGTGGACAATCCAGAAGGTCATGATGCACCAGTGCAGGACAATAAAGATGCCGAAGTAGAGTTGAAACACAGAGGCAAACAGGGCAAAGGTAATGACCCTGGCTGCAATGGTGAAGAAGTGCCAGCAGAACTGGATGATGACAGCCAGGTAGCTGATTGGCTTCTTGTCATCACGAGAATCTCGTAGAGCCTTCTGGTAGGAGGCAAGGGCCCAAGCCAGTGAGACAAGGGAGGCCGCTGCTGTCATACCTGCAATAGACAGACACACAACTTGGAGACAATGCAGAGACACTATGTGCTTATATGCAGACAACAATCAGATGAGAAGATGAAAATCTGTGTGTGTGTTACACAGACTGGTAAAGAATGCGATTACCCTAGTTTATCACAAACACTGGAGCCAGAGTGAATCAGGATGTGAATGTAGCTTTGTGGAATAGGTGGCTTTTCACCTCAGTGAGCCCTTTAACATGTCCCAAACCCACTACAGCAGAACAGAAGTCCGATAAGTCGAGAGCCCTTTTGACCCATTTCAGAGGACTGTTTCAGTGTCTCTTATCAGAGCTGGAGAAGTGAGACGTGTTCTAAACATGCTTGCATACAACACCACTGAAAGCTGAAAAGCTTATCTGGTAAGAACATTCAATTCTATCTAGAAAGCTGGAAAGTTACCTCTGACTGCAGACATTTGCAGTTGGGGTCAGATGTTTCAATGCAACTCAAAGTAGGAATCTGTCTTTTTTCAATCATTTAGAATGTGCCGTTTATATTTACATAGGGATTTTACATTATCAAGTTTAGATAGTAGGTCAGAATGGAAAAATCAAACACTAAAGATTACCTTTTGTGAATTGATGTTACTTCTTCTACATTCTTGAAATGGCAGGTTGAGTGGAGTGTGAGGGGGATTTGGTTGGCTGCAACCTAACATCACCACAAGATTCCACTAAATCCTTCACATTGTTCCTTTAAGTAGTTTCGCTGATTTGCTGATATTTCTGCAATCTAAACAAAAGTCTGCAAATTGTTACAGTTAGGGTTTGGAGTAATTACTTTTCTCACTGTTAGCTGTTATTTCAGTGAATCGCTGCAATCCTCCTCCTCCCCAAACACATCAAATCTCCATATCATCAGCTCATTCAGATCCTCAGCATCTCTTCATCCCATCATTACCACCTCAAGACCGGAATGTTTCCTATTTATGCACAGCCTCAGCTCCCTCCAGTCCTGATAACATCACAAGTGGTTTAAGTTCCAAATAGACTAATTTATATCACATCCCTTTCTACTCTTGTTGAAGTCTCTCCTGATTGAAATATTAGTAAGTGCAATATCACGACTGACTAAGAACAACATCATAGTGGATAGGTCATGGACCAATATAAAAAGTCTAAATACACATTAAATAAATGTTTCTCAAAGATGGTTTCGTCATTTTAGGTTGTTTATATCATACTGATAAATATTCAGGTGTCCAAATTTTCCATACAATTTAGAGGTATAAAGGGTTTTAGTTGTGTAATGCTTTAAAAAAGGGATAAAGGGGTAATACGGGATAATGTGTGTGTGTGTGTTACGAATTACCTTGTACAGCCTGGAGCTTGTGTGTCTGTATGATAATGCACAGCTGCAGCACCAGTTGTGGAGCACTCTCCAGGAAGGTGGCCAGTAGATGCAGCATGCTCACATCTGCAAACTCGTAGACCATCCTCCAATAGTAACGCCACCGTTCTGTCTCAGCACTCTGGCGACTTCGAACGCCCAGGTAGATGGTGTGAAGATACCTGGAATGGTGGAAAGTACCATGTTTCATCATCAACCAGAAATATTCCATGTCATCAGTACATACACTTTCTTTTTTATATTATTTTCTTTGGGAATATCCAGAGAAAAAGAATTTCCTTTTTCCACACACACACACACCACACACACACACACACACACACACACACATTCTTGTACTTCTATCTTAGTGAGGACAGTTACAAACAACGCTTTGAAAAAGTGAGGAGCGGCCAAAATGGCCTCACTTTCGAAAAATTCTATTCAATTGAATTAAATTTTATTTGTATAGCGCAAAATCATAATATATTTATCTCAAGGCACTTTACATAGAAGGTCCAGATCTTAACATCGTATTAATATAGAGAACCCCACAATGAGCAGACTTTGGCGACTGTGGAGAGAAAAACTCATTAACAGGGAGAAACCTCTAGAACCAAACTCAAAGTGGGCGGTCATCGGCCTCGACCGGTTGGGGTGAGAAAAGAAAAATGGGAGAGGAGAGATGGGTGGAAAAGAGGAAAGAGAAGAGAGAGAGATAGTGGGGAGGAGGAGGAGGGGGAGGAGGGGAAGAGAGAGAGGAGAGAGAGACCAGGAATACTTGAGCACCGTCAGGTATCAGATCTGACTAGTTAATATGAAAACAATAATGTAAAGTTATAATGTAAAGGCTTATTAATTATTATTGATAACAGGCACAATTCATATAATACTTAATTACTGAAATCTTGTAATTAATAACAGTAATAATGGTAATATTTGTTGTCCTGAGGTTCTGGGGTTAGAGATATCTTAAATGAGAGAAAGAGAGAGAGGGACTATGGGAGAAAAAAGAAACATAGTTACTGACATGTATTAAAATAAATAAATGAGTGTGGGGGCAGAGACACAGAGAGAAGGGGAGACGTGCTCAGTGCATGATGGGAGTTCCCCCAGCAGTCTAGACCTATAGCAGCATAACTAAGGGATGGTTCAGGACTCACCTGATCCAGAACTAACTATAGGCTTTATCAAAAAGGAACATTTTAAGTTTAACTTTAAATGCAGAGATGGTGTCTGCCACCGAAACCCAGAGTGCGAGCTGGTTCCACAGGAGAGGAGCCTGGCAGCTGAATGCTCTACCTCCTGTTCTACTCCTACATACTCTTGGAACCACAAGAGAGCCTGTGTTTTATGAACGAAGTGATCTATTTGGATAATACGGTGTTATCAGGTCTTTGATATATGAAGGGGCTTGATTGTTAAGGGCTTTAAATGTGAGGTGCAGGATCTTGAATTCTATTATGTAGAGAAGCTAAGACAGGAGTAGTGGACTAGTTTCTCAGCATCCTTCTGAGACAGGATGTTTCTAATAATATTGCGCAGGTGGAAGAAAGCTGTCCTAGAGACTTGTTTTATGTGTTGGTCAAATGACATGTCCTGGTCAAACATAACTCCAAGGTTCCTCACAGTTGAGCTGGAGGCCAAACTGATCAACTTATCAACTCAAGTGATGTTGTTGATCACAACAACAGGGCGTTTACTGCGATAAATACGATTCATAAATACGGCAAATGACAGCAGATTCTCCAGTTCAGGGTTCTATGGGATTGAATAAACAGTATATTCCCCAAGGACAATTTAACATGCAGAATGGGGAAGACTGGGATCAAAACACCAGCCTTCTGGTTAGAGGACAACCTCTCCACTTCCTCAGCCAAAGTTTGGGGAAGTGATCATGGTAGTTGTTTTCATCATTCAGCCTGTCCTGGTTAGGATTCCGTTAGTGTTCAAAAGCTAAATTATCAATAAAGGTCTCCTCCTCTCCAAAAAACCTCACCTGCTCATTACAAAAACGCAGAGGACAGTCACAAAAATACAACTTCAAAGCTGATACTGTGGGCAAAAGCCCATCACCGTTTGGTGAGCACGGGTTGTCTCTGAGAGGCTGTGAGCTGAGCTGCCAACTACTTCCTTCACATGGTTGGTTAAAAAACAACAAAAGTGGATGAAAAGTCAATTTGGGCTCCTCTGACAGACAAACACAACACATGACACATGCACAAAGGGGATATGATGCCTCCGGCAGGTGATTGTACAAAACACACACTCACCTCGGTTATAATTACAGGTTGCTCCTGGTTTGAAAATTGTTGTAAACATTTGGGATAATGTAAGGACACAATTGATATAACATATGATGCCGGTGTAGTTAAATGGTTTGTATTTCTACTCTTGATGACCACTCAGAGTGCTTTACACTTCAGTTTGCCATTCACCCATTCACACACACACATTCATACAGTCCATCTATTAGCAGCACTTTTTTTGTGTTCTATGGGGCAATTTGGGGTTCAGACTAGGGATCAAACTGCTGACCTTCTGGTTGGAGGATGTGCTCTACCCCTCAGCCAGTAGTTAGAGGTAACATAACTGTACCTTTAAGGACATTAAATGTTTTGCTTGCTTCAAATGAGATTTCTGATATACCATGAACTTTAGTTTCCCTTCCCTACGTTTCTAGCATGTCATCTGTACTGTCAGCTTTCTGATGAAGGCAAACAATTTGCACAAATAAGTTTTTAAAAAAATAGTTAACACCAAGTGAGATCAGAAGTGTGCTCTGTTGTACCTAAGGATGTGACAGTGCACTGACATATTCTGGAGGACACCTCAACATCAGTGCAGCAAAGTGAGAAGTTAAGGCACAGGAGAAACATTTTCAGCAGACTTTTAAACTAACACCCTTATTTACTACAAGATATAAAGACATTTATATCTGAGTTCACTCAAAATCAGTCAGTCATCAAACTTGTTCAATGCTTATAAATTTCTTAAATCCTGTAATGCAGATTAACTCAAAATTGTTTCATGACTACAATACTTCAAAAGTAGGACAAGTACCTTTCAAGGGCAAGAAAATATTAACTTTCTTTGCAGACACAAAAAAATAGACTGCTATAAGTTTTAGACAACAGTTTCACCATGCAGTTTCATCAGAAAAGGCTGGATTGCAACATGGGCATTGCCTGAGCAGCACACACACCCAGCTCCTGGCAATCCAGCTCCAACTGCACCTTTATAGACCTGAGGCAAGAGCTCATTTAATTAAGCGAATTAATTTGTACTTTTCTGTGGCCTACATTTTCTGTGTGTCTCATCTGTCTCCCACGTTCATTTCCATTCTCTTGCCTCTCTATCTGTGAAATATCACCAACACGTGGTAGTCATTTAGCAGCATGCTAATGGGCCATGAAATGAAGTTCATTTTGAAAATTAAATCTGTCATTAAAGCTGGAACCTTTTCGTGGACATATTGACCTGACATATCTCTCACTGTGTATTTTGTATGCGTGTGTTGGCGTAGGTCTTTCTAAGTCTGCCATCTAAGACTTGTCAACCTACCACTGAGGCTATAACTGAACGTATCCTATTTCTGACTGCTTTGCTCACACCCACAGAAAAGTAATCAGATCTTTAAGTGCCAAAATTCAGCCTTTGTATGAGGTATA